AAATTCCGGCTCCGGGAAGACTAGAAGAGACGAAGCACAGAATGAATTCAAATAATTTTTAACTAAGCATAGAATACTAGAATATGTTTAAAAACTGGTTTGGTTCAGTTCAGGTAACTGGATTCTTGCACAACCAAACTGGTATCTGAACTGAAAATCTGGTTTTCTCCCATAATGTAACCTGAATAAGAAAAGGATTTTCGAGTACCTGGTTTTTGGGTCCGATTCGAGTACCTGGTATTTTAGAACACCCATAGATAGAGATCTAATAATTACTTTCATCTAACTAATTACATTGATTAAATAGTTAATAACAGAATTAATTGTCTCAAAACAATTTTTTTTTTTTTTTTTTTTAAAGAAAGAAATATAGGAAAGATATTATGACAATCTCATGAAAAGGGAATAAATCATACATTACATGGCTTAAATAAATAATTATTTCATATATCATTTAAAGCTTTACATTGAGTTAACTTATAGGTTTAAAATATTTCAGTTCACTTGACATCCCTAACAATTCAATTGATTATTATATTGTTGAGCCTCATGTGTTTTAATATGTCAAAACTAATAAAAAAGAGTGATTCATAGTTTAACAATGTGCAATGGTATGACATAAGTCATAACCAAAACAAAAATGCAGATTTTTTTGGTGGAACGACCGTTCACGCATATGAGACGCGCGTCCTATCTAGCTTTTCTATAAAATATTCTCCGATCAAGTCGTTCCATTTTGGAATGACACCGTTCCCATTGCTCGTTCACAGTTGTGTCCAAAATGAAGCACAAATCCTTTTCAAGCAAACTCAAGTCAAAATTGGAACAACCAATCTGCACGACCAACCCAACTAGTTGTTCCTAACATATCAAGACTTAATCAAATAAGCTAACTCACATCTGTGAAAGTGAACATCATTTGTGATGTAAGAAAGAACGGCCAAGATGAACGACTATTCATTCAGTATGTTCCATATAAATGACATTGTTCCATCAAGTCTTTCACAATTTTGGAATCTTGACACTTTTGCAAACTGAAAAGGAACACCTGTTCCATGAAGAGGAATGCTTGTTCCAAGATGAAGTCAAGATTTTGGATTTAGAATTTTCAAGCTATAAGTCAAGGTTAAGAGAAACTTCAAGTAAATCAAGAATGACCTCAACGGACGCTCGTTCCTAGTTTTCTTCAAGCCATTCCAAGAAGGAACGACATGATTCCAAGAAGTTGTTCAAGGTTCTGGAATTTGTAGATATTAAGAGGTCCATAATGGAACGCCTGTTCGTGATAAGGTAATGCCTGTTCATGATAGGATAACGGCCGTTCCAAACCCTAGATTTCAAATTAAATTACTCGTTAGTGTTAGGAATGCTTGTTCTCGATGTTGGAACACCCGTTCCTCTAGTTCTGTAGCTTTTCAGAGGTGCATTAAATACAACAACGACTCTAATCTATCAAGGGTTGGTGGAGACTTTAAAAGGATGATTTATTGCAAGAATTAAATAGAGAGAACACAGCATTATCCAATATTCAATCTTGCAAATCCTAGAGCTCAAAAATCACTCTCTCATTTGTACTAAACTAACATCTTTAGAGAGAACACTTGAATCCATTGTGTGTTAGCCTAGTTTACAAGTAATCATTCACATAACTTTTTATCTATTATATTTTGGGTGAAATTCTATAAAGCTAGAGACAAAATCCTGTCAATATATGTTGGAATATTTTATTAAAGTGAATGAAATAAATGGAATGAAATTGGTGGTGTAAGTTGAGAATTTGAAAGGTGAAAGGTTAGTGGATTAATGGAGGAAGTTTTAAGAATTAGAAAGTGAAAAGGTGGAAAATAATGGTGGAATTCAATGTGTTGTCCCACTTTGAGTAGTATAAAAAGATGTTCTTCCTCTCATTTCAAACACACCAAAAAAAAATTAAGAGCTCTTTCAATCTCTTATTTTCTTTCTAGTTTTTAAGGTTTTTTTTTTTTTTTGTTGTTGGAGTTAAAACTTTATTCAGTTCGTTAGAATAAAAAAGTGGTGCTTCTCTTGCTATTCATCTGTTGTTGTATCCTGAGAAACAGACGCTGCTCAAATCCTTGTGCACCCGAGTGAAAGAGGTAAATCTGTTTTAAGAAAACTATGTGTTACACAGGCCTCGACATTCTTCCTAAGGTTGTATTCTCCAGATCTCATTCTATCATTCAGAAGGATTTCCTAAACGTGATCAAGTTGTTGGTATTGTTAATTTTATTGTATTGTCTTTTTATTTTATTGACATTAATTCTATTGTTTTATATTAAAAATGTTTATTATTTGAGGTTACTAATATAATAGTTGATTATTTTAGAATAATATTTTTTTTTATAACAATCTATAATAAAGACAAAATCCTATGAAAACTAGTGTAAATACGAAATGTGATTATAGTGAAACTTTAAGGAAGTTACCTTGAATAAATGGACGTATGAGACTTGTGGGTATAACTTCGAACCAATATAAATCTATGCGTATTTCTCTCTCTCTCTCTCTCTCTCTCTCTCTCTCATTTATTATCATTTGTCATTAACTTGTTTATTTTTTGTTTTTCATTCAAGTTATTTATTGTTTTTGCCGTTGAGTAGTTCGGAGTTCTATTATTCCTTATCAAATTTGTTAATCTCCTATTCAACACCCTCTCTGTAAAAGTATTTGCCATATTAAGGTTTTACATATATTACCATAACCAATGTTCAATGGGAAGATTATTGATAGATTAAAGATTATTCATTTATTTGTATAAACTTTGATAATTGATAGACTATATAAATTATATGCGCTAATGGCAAATGGCAATGCCACCTAGAATCTGCAATTATTGGGTCTTCGCCTTTTAATATGGCAATTACGTAATGATGCAATACCTTACTTTCGCAATCGTGAACGCTTTGGCTGTGTTTGATTCATTATTCCTACCCATATTTCCAATTATATTCTCCAAATAATCTTTGGCATATTATTCTAGAAATATTACCCAATTTTTTTAATTACTTTTAGACTCCATAAAGTTATTAATTTCATTAAATACCCCCTGAAAAAAGTTTAAAAAATAACAAAAATACCCCCGTGACCCATACTTGGCAGATTTCTGCAACCACTGTCGGTGGTAGCCAGAATCTGCCACAACGGTGAATTACCAACTGGAACTGGCTGGTAATTCACCGATCTAGCTGTCGTTGACGGTCAACGACGACCTTAGCCATCGTTGACCGAAAACGACGACCATATCTTTGGCCATTGTTGACGGTCAAAGATGGCCGTCGTTTTGGCCTTTTCTGGCCGTCGGTTGCCATAGCAGGCCGTAGATCTGGCCGAAAAAGGCTACAACGACACGTTACGACACAGATCCAACCGGTCTATGTCGTAACGCAATTTTTCGACCAGATTTTGGTGGTGGTGGTCAGAATTTGGTACTACAGGTGGTAGGGGTATTTTTATCATTTTATATGTTGGGGTGTTTAATTACATTAGTAAACTTATGGGCTTTTTTATAAATTTTTAAATTTTATCTCGTAATACTTCTTTATTCGACTACCTAATATTATTCTTAAAATTCTATCCAAAATAATGAACCAAACGTTCTCTTTAATATCCTTATTTGATTTTTCACACGTGGTGATTTAATTGAATCACAATGGGGCCACTAATAAATCTATCTCATAATTGGGCTGTCACTATTAAAAGAAACAACGGCGTGGATTTAACATTGCTCACAGACAAATAGGTGACTGGTCTCCACGTTGTTAGATTACAAACAAACAGAGAAACGTGACCCACTTGGACCCACTTCACAATCAGCTACTCCTCAAAGGCCATTAGCCTACCACAATATTTCCATTGTGAAGTCCCAATTAACCCACCACTCGCTCTTGATTCTCTTATTTTAACTGTTTAAAACGAGTTAATTACGTTTACCATTGGGGTTTAAGTCGTTAGTCCAAATTCTACATTTTAAAATATTTAGATATACTTCCTAATTATAACAATGGTAAATAATAAAATAGATATTTAATGACAGATTTGGGATTTTAAAAATGTAGACAATATTAAAATAAGGGTTATTCTAGTCCATAAATAATAAAGCTTCTCACATATAATTTCTTATGTAAATATTTATTAAGTTCAAGAGGATTATTGTCAATGAGTTATGACGGTTCTAGTTTTGAGTATCATAATCAATATTTGATTTACTAACTGATATTATATATGGTTGGTTGCCATTGGTTTGCCGGTGGTACGGTAATATGATTCTGACTTACGACCATGCTAGGACATTTAAGACTCTAAAAGGTAATAATTATTTTGTAGAAATTGAAATATTAGCCTTTCAGTTGCTTGCATAAGGCATCACTGAAAATTTATGCATATATATAATGACATTTAACAAATAATGCAAGAAGATTTGACTTGTGACAGCTGAGAGCTGAAACTCGTATTATGCAGGACTAAGTCTTTTTGTAACTTAAATTGATTTATTTTACAGGCAAGTATGTATAAAATACAGTTTTTATTACGACATATGATTACATCATTCATCACATGGAACCTTCACCGTTAGTTCACCCATAAACGTAATTATACTTAAAGACAACAATTGACGATCATCTCTAACTCTAACTTTATTTTTACTGTTTATAAATGGCAATTTGAAATGACTGGTTAATTACTTCTAAACAAATGATAATGAGCTAAGCATGGTTCTTTATATTTATATGAAAAAACAAAAGCAACCCAACAAGAGTAAGACCCCACTAACCGACCTGGTCCCATCCTACTCAACATTCCTACCCTTGATACTAGGGCAAACGTTACAATCAACTTCGAATTAATATACTTTTTAAATACTTTTCAAGTGGGTAGGACCCATTAAATCATGATTTTCATCAACTAATTCAACGGTCAGGATGTGTTTGCGATACAGATCCATAATCTACCTCCGTCGAAAACTCTTTTACATGCAGACATTCTTTTGCAGTCTCAAGCTTTGTCTTTCGTTAACATCGCATCTCCCACACGCACTTAAAATTAAGAACAAACTTAAAGGCGGAGAATCCAACACTTCGAAAATCTTTTTCTACTCTTCAACAGATTTAATCAATTAACGGTAACGTAACTTCGACTCCAACTCCACGTAATGGCATCGCTTCACCCTTCAGAGCTCGAGTCCGGCACCACCGATTCTGTCGCCTCCTCTCCTCGTTCTGACCACCATGATCTCCATATTTCACGTGTGCGATTCATGTGTAGCTTCGGTGGCAAGATCCTCCCCCGCCCGCATGATAATCAGCTCCGTTATGTTGGTGGTGATACCCGCATAGTTGCCGTTCACCGCTCCACTACCTTCTCGGCTCTACTCACCAAGCTCTCAAAACTTGCAGGTATACTTAATGATTAATCAGACTAAATAAAGTTCTGTAAATTCAATCTTTTGTTTTTATCGTTGATTCTTATGATGCATGTTAATATAATTAATCAGGTGGCAGTAACATTAGCGTGAAGTATCAGCTGCCTAACGAGGATCTGGATGCATTGATCTCGGTCACCACGGATGAGGATGTGGAGAACATGATGGAGGAGTATGATCGCATAGCACATAATCAAAACCAAAGATCAGCGCGGCTCCGCCTCTTTCTTTTTACTAAAGGTGATGATTCCCGAGCCAGTAGTATCAGCTCGCTCCTTGATGGCGCGGCTAACCGAGAACACTGGTTCTTTGACGCTCTCAACAGCGGCGCGGGGCTCGAGCGTGGACGTTCAGAGGCTTCCTCTATTATGTCTGAAGTACCCGATTATTTATTCGGGTTGGATAATTCTGATGAGACGCAGCCTCGTGAACCAAAAATGAAGTCTCGATTAGTTTTGCATGAGAATGTATCAATGTCGGATCCGGGTTCTCCTGCCCCGGTTGTTTCGTCGCCGTTTTGCTCTACATCATCCGCACCTATCGTTCCATCCATGCCGGATCTTCCTCCAGTTAAGACTAAACCCGACAACCCGGTTGCGACAATAGAGTCAAAGCGGAGTGGTCAAGTGGATGGCTATGTAGAGACTGTGGAGACACAAACGCAACCAATACAGCCAAACGAATATTCGGGTCAACCCATGTGGCAATACTTCTCGGATTCTCATTACTCGGGTCCTGCTGTACAACAAATTCCAGTTTATTATGTTCCGGGTCCGGTTCAACCCGGGAATGCTTCGGTACAGCCTGTCTCTGTTCAAGCACAGTATGTTCATCAATACCCCGTTCCTGGGGGTCAAATGCCTGTAGGGTACCATCAGCCAGTTCCAAGTTCGGGTCAAATATACGGTGGAGCTGCAGTGAGGCCTGTTGTGACGATGGATCATGCATATGACCCGGCAATGAGAGTAGTTCCAGCTGAGGGAGTAAACCAGCAGGTTTATTACGGGGTTAGAAATGCGGGTTTGGTTCAGGGGTATCCGGGTATGATAATGCCAGGTGGAGAAGAATTAACAAGGACCGGATCCGATGTAAAAGCGGGCCGGATCTCACAGTCTTCCTAAACGGGTCATATACGGTAAATTACGTTAATTTTGTCATATTTGCATAAAGCCAAAAAGCCTTTTGTGTGTGACTCTGGTACTTGTTTTTCTGGATTGTAATTAAATTCATTATATTTTGATGAAATTGGGAATGAATTTTGATACAAGTGTACAGGGAGGGAACTCAAAATTTGGTATAAGTTTTTCAGTTTGTTTTTGTAGAAGAAAAAAAAAATAAAAAAAAAATATATATATATAGATATGCTATGTTTGTAACAGACTTGTTGGGTATCTTTATGTTCCTTTCAGGATTACTTGTATATGTTGTTTTCTAATAATTAAAACTTAGGAGTAAAATTTAATTTTAAAACAAAAAAATAGCAACAGTAGCAACACTGCCAAAGAAGAAGAAATACTACAACTAGAAACAAGTATGTTGATGATAAAGTTAAAGCTAGGGTACAAATGCGTTTGGCCTAGGAGCTGCAAAGTACAAAACTTATCCAAAACTCAACTTTTCAGCCGAATAAGTTCCCTTGCGGCTTTCCAGTTAAAATCAGGACATGAATGTTATCCATTCATTCACAAACAGACTAATTTCTAAGGTAATAACTTGTCTATCAATTAATTATAAGATAACTTAAAACTTAATTTAAATTTAAAATCTAACTAAGCTAATATTTTTATTAAAGTAATAACTAGTTTAAACGGATAAAGATTTTGGACCCAAATTAAAAACTTATCTAAAAAAAATTGTCTTATTAATTAAAAAATAATCGTCTGCAAAAAGTTTTATAAAATAATATTTCCTGTGTCTTATATAATTTCTGATGGATCTTATCCGTGTGATAAAAGAGTAAAGAAGAACCTAACATGGTCTCCTAAGTTTGAGTCTCCTTGATAGTAAAAAAACAAGAGAATAATCTAATATGGTCTCCCAAGCATGAGGATCTAAGATAGTATCTCGAGTTTGAATCCCTATGATCCTTAATAGAGGTGACCATTGGATCATAAACTGACTCAAACACCTTTGGTTATTAAATAAAAATTAAAAAGTTGTATAGGAATGATAACGAAGTTACTTATATAGACACATAGTTAAGAAAAAAAAAAAAAAGTTTTATAGCAATAATTCCCTTGAAGTGTAATCAAATAAAAGAACAAAAAAAAAAAAAAACTTGTTATAGTTATAGTAATAACATAAATTTCTTTACCATTAAGTTTTTGATATTAAAATAAACGGTAGAAAAGTTATATCTATTAACTCAGTTATGCTATAAATTCTAACAGTACGCTAATAATAAGAGAATTTATATAATTTCTGAAATATCAAGGAAGATTTTATTATTTGATTAAGCCTTAAGTAGAGATGGGCCTTTTATTTGCCCCGGCCCACCTTGAATGGTCTTAGTAAGAACAAAACAACTTGGATGTTTCTTAAAAATAAATAAAAATTAAAATAGACATTGATGTTGTACGCTAAAACTATCCAAATTTAAAATAATAAAAAAAATATATTAATAAACAGTAAGATACTTGGAAGAAAATTTAAAAGAATTTTACCTAAGATTTTTAAGGTTGAAAAGATCTGACGGCTGAAATGTAAAATTTGCATAACATAAATTATCAGGGTCTCTTGATAAGAGAAAAATTTTATATATGTATATTAAAAATAATAATTTTATGTTTGATACTTTTTTATTTTTATAATAAAAATCAAATTATCAATTTATAAAAATAAAATAATTTGGTTTTGATCAAATTCATGATTTTTAATATAAACTATAAATATTTATGATCCTTAACATTGATAAAGATATTTATATAAAAATACTAGTTTTCATATATTTAAAATTTATATAAAAAAAACACTTAATACTTATAATTAGATATTAAAAAGTTATAACAAACATATCATAATATTAAAAAAAAAAAAAAGAAACAGAATCACTCTTTTATTACTAATGGACTACTCTGCCAGCTGGGCTGGCCTAGTTTCTCGGCTCAGATATTAAGGCCTAACAAAAAACAATGGCCCATTATTCCAAATTAGTAAAGGTGAGCATACTGTGGTTTTTCAAATCAAATAAAATATTTTTTCTTGATACAATTACATTTTCTTATTAATAATTCATGAAAATTCGATGACAATCTCTAGTGATATAGTATTACTAATTTCATATCTACAAATTTAAAAGATATATTAATAACATTTTTGTCACATAAGTAATTATGATTATTTTATGAATTAAACAACGGTGTTAAGTTTCAAAATGCAATTGAATATTGTAAAACCCTATATGGAAAGTATTCCTAAAGGGGGCAGTGAATAGGAATCAATGAAAATAATTGTGGAATAAAAACTTTCACCAACCACACAAGTTAAGAACTTAAAACAATAACAATGATAAACAATAAACAATAAATGAGAATGATAATAATCAGCAAAGATTAAAAATGGTGAGCAATAAATGAGAGAGTAATAAATAAGAACAAGTGATAATGATTTATAGGGGTTCGGAGCTATATTCACAAGTCTTTGACATCTAATTCTTCAAGACAACCTCCTTAAAGTTCCACTAGAATCGGATTGCGCTCTTTACACTAGTTTGACAAGATTTCCCCTCTAGATTTATAGGATTTCGCCCAAAATATGTTTGAATAAAAGCTTGTGAATGATTGCTTCTTAAACTAGGCTTAAACATACAATAAGAACAATACTCTCAAAGTGTTTTTAGTTGGGGGTTAAATATGATTATTGAGGTAATTTCATCTTATATTACTTGATTACCATGTTTGATTGTCAAATAATATAAGATTCCGGTAATCTTTCAATACCAATAGTAGTTACTGATCAACGCAATCTCAAATACTTGTTAGAGCAGTGTATTGCAACACCGGAACAACAAAAGTGGGTGACTAAGTTGCTTGGTTCTGACTATGAAATTCATTACAAACCAGGTCGTGAGAATTCAGCAGCTGATGCACTATCGAGATTAGTTGACAACCCTAGTCTTGATGCTTTATTTATGTTAACAATAATACTATAATTACAAAGAAATCTTATAAAGATTTACATACAAAGTGAGGTGGCAAAAAATGAATGGAAGAGTGAAACAAAAAGTTAAACTCATTAAATTCACTATTCCTTTCTTTTTTTACCACATCACTTTGTATGGAGATCTTTGTAAAATTTCTTTGTAAGTGTAGCATTACTCTTGTGTCAAAGGTTGAGATATGGGAGGAAATAAAAAAAGTAGCAATTGGACACGCTTACATGGAAAGGATTGGGAAGTTGGTGTTGAGAATCAAGCTGGCAATATGAGGTGGCAAAGTTTGTTACATTCAGTTAGTGCACATGGAAATTAGTTAGTTGTTTTATAAAAGTTAGTTAGTAGCTAGTTTATAACAGAATGTATATAAAGCCTTGTAACAGAGCAGAGAAAGTTAAGTTGAATACAATTTTCATTTTCCAAAATTCATCTTCACGAGTTCTCCTTTCCTCTCATCTTTCTCTCTTCAATTCATTTTCCCCAAATTAACATGGTATCAGAGCATAATTGGGGCTAGAATTTCTCTAAGAAAATTGCTGGAAAATTCGGATCAATCAGTGCTCAATTCCTTTGGCACTTCTTCTTCGATTATTTCTGAGATTATTCCTCAGCTCTTTTCTTTTAATCAAATCAGAGGCAACTTTCCAAAAGATTCTTAAATTCAATGGAAGAATCAAAATTTCGTACCTAGCTTAATTGAAGATGGCAGTTGATGGCAATAACGCACCTTCTTCAACACCTTAGCAACCTCTAGCTATTGATTTTAACCATCCTCTCTACCTGCATCCTTCGGATACACTAGGTGCAGTACTTGTTTCTTTTCAATTGAGTGGATTTGACAATTATTCTTCATGAGTAGGTCTATGAAAATTGCTTTGTTATCAAAGAATAAGATTGGATTTATTGATGGCACTTGCACAAAGAACACAGTTTCTGCTAGCTTGCATAATCAATGGGATAGGTGTAATGCCATAGTTCTCTCATGGCTCGTGAATTCAATAACAAAAGAACTCTTAAATGGAATTGTAGATGCTTCAAGTGCACATCTAGTATGGAAGGATTTACAAGAAAGGTTTGATAAAGTAAATGGCTCCAGAATTTTTCAATTACATAGGGAGATAGTCACTCTGGTGTAAGGGGCTTATTCGATTTCCACATATTTCTCCAAACTGAAACTGCTATGGGATGAGTATTCATCCATAGTTCAACTTCCAACATGTGAATGTTCCATGTCAAAAACATATGTGGACCACATGCAGAATCAGAAACTCCTTCAGTTTTTAATGGGATAGAATGAAACCTATTTACATGCTAGAAGTCAAATACTGATGATGAATCCTCTGCCATCTGTGAATCAAGCTTATTCCATGCTTGTTACTGAAGAAAGCCAAAGGAGCCTTACAAGTGCTACCCCAACTGAATCATCTTCACTTGAGCCAACTGTCCTCTACTCATCTTCGAATTCCAGTCAACAATCATCAAAATCAAAGAAAAATTGGAACATAATTTGTGAACAGTGCAATGTGAGAGGTCATAAGAAAGACAATTGCTACAGACTAATTGGTTATCCTGCTGATTTTTAATTTACAAAGAAGAAAAATTTTAATCAGTCTTCTGCTAGCAATGTCACTTCTGTTACACAGCCAGATACTATTTCCTCTTCCATTGAAAATCAAACTACCCCAGTCTTCTCCAAAGAGCAATATGTTGAGATACTGAAGTTGCTTCAAAAGGAACCTTCGATGACACCATCAACTGATGCCAATGTCAACATGGCAGGTATCCACTCTTACTTCTCATCACTACATCATGGAAATTACTGAATCCTTGATACAGGTGCTAGTCACCATATGACAGCATCTTTGGACAAACTAACAGATTTGATGGTGTCTACTTCTCCTTCTTCAGTCAGGCTACCTAATGGACATCACTCAACAGTTTCTCATATCGGTTCTTATGTGATTGGTCCTAATCAAAGGCTAACTAATGTCTTATTTGTGCCTGATTTCAAATTCAACTTGATCTCTATAGCAAAGCTTACCAGAGACTTAAAGTGTTTTGTTTCCTTTTATCCTGATTTTTGCATATTTCAAGACCTCTTCAATGGCAAAGTG